TGCAGCAGCTGCACCTGCGCACCCACACACACCCATCTGCTGCGCACACTTCTTCACTGGAGCATCTCAACCTCCCGCTCGATGGCCACCGCTGCCTGCGCCAGCAACCGCTTCTGCAGCAGCTGCACCTGCGCACCCACACACACCATCTGCTGTGCAAACTTCTTCACTGGAGAAACTCCACCTCCCGGTCGATAGACACCGCCGCCTGCGCCAGAAACCGCTTCTGAAGCAGCTGCACCTGCCAACCAACACACAACCATCTGATGCGCGCACTTCTTCACTGGAGCACTTCCACCTTCCAGTCGATGACCACGGCCCCCTGCGCCAGCCGCGCTTCTGCAGCAGCTGCACCTAAGAACAACACACACAATTGCTGTGCGGCCTCAATAGTCGGATATCAAGACGCTTCTAAAGCAGCAACAGCGCAGAAATGTGTACTCTACTCTTCAATTTGAGTCTTCAATGAAGTGTGCCAGTTAATAAAAACCTCCTTGACAATGCTTTTCTCTACACAGTTAATTGCGTGAATTTACGTTTGTGGTGTACATTTTGCGTTTTTCTGAAAAAATTAGATTTAAATCGCAAAAAAAGTTTCTATGGTGAATTCGCCTTAAAGTTTGCGCTTAGACCTTGGTTTCCTGAAAAAAACCGTGTCAGGTCAAAAATCGGAAAATTTCGTCGATCCTTTACACTTTTTAACACAAAAATTATATCCAGCATAACGCAAAAAATACCTCACATAAATCAATTCTACAAAGACTAAAGTCTTCCAAAATTGATGTAGTTTCAGAAAATGTCATCATTTGTCATGTACGTGAGGGAAATGTGCCTACTAAGAACATTAAATTAAAAGTATCGTATTTTCCATTTCTCAATGAATTAAAAAAAATCATATTCCATAGACAATATCCGAAATTAAATGAAGACTAAATCCCAAAAATGATGGAAAAAATGGAAAAAACCTAATTTCGTAGTTTCTTTCTGAAATCAAGTATAAAAGTACAACTCTCGACGAAAAATTCAATGGTGAAAAACAGCCGTCAATCCGACTATTAGTTTTGAAATTAAACGATTGAAATCAAATGAAGCCCAAACCTCGAAATTGAGGGAAAAAATGGAAAAAACTGAATTTCGTAGTTTCTTTCTGAAATCAAGTATGTAAGTACAACTCGCGACGAGAAATTCAATGGTGCAAAACAGACGTCAATATGACTATTAGTTTCGAAATTAAACGCTTGAAATCAAATGAAGACCAAATCTCGAAATTAAGGGAAAAATCGATAAAAAACTAATTTCGTAGTTTCTTTCTGAAATCAAGTATGTAAGTACAACTCTCGACGAGAAATTCAATGGTGCAGAGCAGACGTCAATCCGACTATTAGTTTTGAAATTAAACGCTTGAACTCAAATGAAGCTCAAATCTCGAAAATAAGGGGAAAAATGGAAAAAACCTAATTTCGTAGTTTCTTTCTGAAATCAATATGTAAATATAACTCTGGACGAAAATTCAATGGTGCAAAGCAGACGTCAATCCTACTATTAGTTACGAAATTAAACGCTTGAAATCAAATGAAGCCTAAATCCCGAAATTGTGGGGGGGGGGGGGAAATTGAAAAAAACTAATTTCGTAGTTTCTTTCTGAAATCAAGTATAAAAGTACAACTCTCGACGAGAATGTCAATGGTGCAAAACAGACGTCAATCCGACTATTAGTTCCGAAATTAAACGCTTGAAATTAATTAAAGCCTAAATCCCGAAATTGAGGAAAAAAATGGAAAAACCTAATTTCGTAGTTTCTTTCTGAAATCAAGTATAAAAGTACAACTCTCGACGAGATTGTCAATGGTGCAAAACAGACGTCAATCCGACTATTAGTTTTGAAAATAAACGCTTGAAATCAAATGAAGCCTAAATCCCGAAATTGGGGGGGAAAATTGAAAAAAAACTAATTTCGTAGTTTCTTTCTGAAATCAAGTATGTAAGTACAACTCTCCCCGAGAAATTCAATGGTGCAAAACAGACGACAATCCGACTATTAGTTCCGAAATTAAACGTTTAAAATTAATTAAAGCCTAAATCCCGAAATTGATGGAAAAAATGGAAAAACCAAATTTCGTAATTTCATTCTGAAATCAAGTATGTAAACACAACTCTCGACGAGAAATTCAATGGTGGAAAACAAACGTCAATCCGACTATTAGTTTTGAATTTAACGCTTGAAATCAAATGAAGCCCAAATCTCGAAAGTGAGGGAAAAAATGGAAAAAACCTAATTTCGAAGTTTCTTTCTGAATTCAAGTATGTAAGTACAACTCTCGACGAAAAATTTTATTGTGCAGAGGAAACGTAAATCCGACTATTAGTTTCGAAATTAAACTTTACGAAACCAATCAGACGAATAGTTTCAGAGATAGACGAGAAACAAAATGAACCTTAATTGTTCAAGTTACAAAACGACCCCCTTTTACGTGCTATATTTCGAAAACTATTAATATCAGCACTGCTATCTCCAATTCTGAATACAAGTAAAACACATTAAAAGAAATTGATTGGTGCAAAGCAT